CACTCAGGAGGCTGGGGCAGGAGGATCATGTGCTCATTAGTCAACCTGATTCTCTTGTGCGGGACCTAGGATTAGTAACGCACACTTTTGGATGTGCCTGAGTGAGTCATTAGAATGGGATCTTGGGGGTTCTATTGGGTCCCCAGTTTCATCCTCTTGGGCTTTCCCCTGCCCTCTGCTTCGCGCATATCCTGAGTTTATCAGCTTTTCTCCCCCTTGCCCTTCAACCATGTTTCTATCTCAGAGCCCCCAGACTATGTTCAGAAACTGTGAGCCAAAAACAGCTTCTCTGATAAGCTCCCTTATTGCCCTATGCCTCTGTCTCCCTGTGGCATCTGGCTCTGGGGATCACATCTTTTTTTGAACCTCTCTTCTTTTATTGCCATGTCACAAGCATCTTATGGTTCTCCTCATTTCTCTCTGATCAGTCCACCTGTCTCTGTTGGCTCCTCTTCCTGTCTGCTCCTAAAATACCAGGGTTCCTCAGGATGTTCGCTTTTACTCTCTGCTCTCTAAGCTTTCTTTCTGGGCAATCTTGCTTGCTACAGTGATTTTAGTAATCTGTCCAGAGGCTGATGACTCCAAGTAGGTCTCTACCCTTGATCTTTCTCCTCATCTCTCTTTTTCTTTAGGTAGCATTTTGATTTAGAAACTTCAAAGCATCTCTATATCTCTGTGTTACATCTTGAATGAATTTTGGCCATTTTCTCCTGAAAGACCTACAGTTTAGCAACTCCAAGCTAAACTATGCCAGTCACCATCATCAAAATGTTCTTATCTCTACCCCCAGTATATTTCTCCTGAATTCCTTAAGATCTCTTGAAAGACAATATAGTGATCTACCACTATCTGCCTAATTATTAAATCAGAAAACTGAAGATCATTCATCATTCTCATTCTATCCTTCATGAAGTCTTACTGATTTCAGCCTCCAAATTTACCTGAACTGTATTTCCCTCCTGTTCTGTTGCCTTGGGCCAGGTCTTCATCTCTAGTCCTCTAGATGAACACACTAGAACTCCAACTAGTTTCTAATCTACTCTTGCCCCTCACTCTATCTTTATGTCACCAATGCAATCTTATCATTCCCCAGTTAAATATTTTTAGGGATTCCATATTGTCCACAGGATGAAGTTGAAGCTCTTTGAGTAACAAAGATCTTAACATACACAGCTTGCCCTAGTTTTAACCAACTTCTGCTAAAACATGGGTCCAGTGTTTTATATTTCTAGATTTTCTTTATTTTATTACTATATGGGTATAGTACATAATGTTCACATTGTGTGTGTGGAGTTAATACATGTACATAATGAAACATATATGTGTATATATTAATTGCTCTTTTTAACCACCCCTGTCTTTTGATTCCTTTTCTCTTAGTTTTTTTGGAGAGAAACTGCATGCTATGATTCTTACAAAAAAGCTCCCAAGAGTTTTTTTTTTCTTAAGATAGGGTCTTGCTACATAGTCAGGCTGGTCTTGAACTCACTGTGTGGCCCAAGCTGGATTGAACTCTTGCCAATTTTCTTACCTCAGCCTCCCCAGTGCTTGGATGATAGGAATGGGTCACCATGCCCCTAAATTTTAAAAGTTACTTCAATTAAAAATTCAGTAATACTATTCAAGCCAAACAAAATACTTCTGCCGGATGAACCTGGGACCTCCATATGTGACCTCTGGCTGAATTCATGAATGGGGAGACTAAGTTGCTAGTGAAGAGAAGATGTTGATGAACGTGGGTGAGAGGAAGCAGGGGAGGGGAAAGGCCTGACGCCGGGAAATAGCTTCCTGGAAACTGGGGAGCGGCGAAGCTTGGAAAGGGTCTTTTGTCCAGGTCAAGAAGTACTATATACTGTTGGCACCAATGGTGAAATGTCCAGGGGTAACCATAACTAATGTGAGACTCACTGCCATATATGGACACATGGAGCTATTAGATTCTGATTTTTGTGACTTTGTGACTTGCAGATTGTGTCACCTCTTGGTACTCTAATACAGGAAGAAGAGTTAATATTTTTACTTTCTGTTTGGGGACTCAGAGCAGAACTTTATTTAGAAAAATAGATAAGACATTTCTTATACCTTGAGTTTTTAAAAGTGGTTCATGCTTGTCACAAACACCACACAGACACCTGTTGAATTTTAACTAAGTGTGTTTAATAATTGTAATTTTAGTATTAAACTGAGTCAATATTATTGGGAAGGAGGTCTGCTTAAGGCACAATAAAAATATAGGTAAAGTGATATATTCTGAAGCTTTATTTATATATCTATTACTTGATGATTATCACCAACTTCTGCCTGGTATAGATAAACAAGACCACAGCACCCATGAGAAGTCATATGCTAACCTTGGCATTGATGCCAGCGCATCTGACACATCTTTATCTTTATTTTACTAGCTGCACCGCACCCTTATTTCCTGAGTTAAAAATAAAATGCATTCCTTATTAACAAGGAATATGGGGACATGGAGTCACTTCCACTGAGTCACTGTTTCTGTACAGAGCATTTTGACTCAGCAACAATTACAAAGACTAAGTTAACTGATTTCCTAGTTATTCACAAACCCTTGTCAAGTTCATGTTTTCTGTGGTCACAAAAGAACAGTGTGGGTGGGCTAGAGCCACGGGGAGAAATTACATTCTTTAACACTATTTTCTTTTCTGGCCTTCAGTGTTGAGGAAAAGGGTAAGAAGTGTTGATGACAAGCGTAGGCTAATCTCTGTCATCATTTCTCGTCCTCCAGTTGAGTCCATCAGGCTCTGTTAACTATCTTTTCTCTTACTTTGACCATGTGGAGATATGTATATAAATGTTCTCTCTCTCTGTCTCTCTCTCTGTCTCTCTCTCTCTCTCTCTCTCTCTCTCTCTCTCTCTCTCTCTCTCTCTCTCTCTCTTTTGTACTTAGTACAGAATCTACAGGGTCTCACCACACAGATCGGACTCGTAGTGATTCTCCTGTTTTTGGCCTCCCAAGTGCTGGGATTACAGGTGCGCGCCACCACGCCCAGTCTCACTCACGTCTCAGTGCGCCCTGCAGGCGGGCCCGGTGAGGCAAGCCAGAGATCAAACATCGGCCTCTGCATCTGCCTAAGCAGGCACTTTAATGCTGAGCTATCTCGCCGACCCTATAATTTCTTTTCTGGGTAGATATTTTACAGCCCTTTCATCTCAGCTTTATTGACTTTATTTTCATTTTATCTTATTCTAAAGCCTGAGTTTGATAAACTTGACTGAGTTTGATAAAGTCAAGCTAGATAAATTTGAACACCACTGGTTGACTCTTTTTTGTTTGGTGCCTGGCTTACTCAAATATCTTCACCTGGTATTCTTTCCTTTGTCAGTAGTTGCAAATCAAAACTCTGTGCATGGTACACAAAACACATACGTGAGTGAATGACAATGGATCAGTTTAAAATTTTGTCAGTTTATTACGGAGAAAGTTAAGGATTTGGTGACAAGAAAGGCAGGGAGAGTAAATAGTCTTTTATATCAAAGGCTAAAAATGAAGTTTACACTATTTATAGGCTTAAATTGTCTACACTGTTCCTACTCTATGATGTATTAAATAAGTGCAAGTTGGCTACTGCCTGTTCAAAACCAATGTCTGTCATACTCAGTCTTATAAGCTACCCCTTTCTGTTTCAATTCTTATATTCCCAATAGCTTTTGGTAAGGTAGCATTTATGAATATTGGAATAATAATTGAAAGGAACAGTTAATGCTTACATTTTTTTCTTCTTTTTAATTGTTTTGACTAATTTTTCATGCTTATATCCGATAATTTGAACAACTAATTTGAAGACAACAATATGCCATATAGCAACCATTGCTGAATTCCTATCGATTTGTTTAAATGTGAAATTCTTTATCATTTCTAATTTAAGATTGGCCTCTTTAAAAAATAAAGTATTACAAAAAAGATTTCATACCAGATTTTAAATCAGTGAATAAAAAAGTAGGAATACTTAAGTCCTTACTTCTTAGCTTGCAAGATTTAGTCAGGGCTTTGTCACCTTTCCTGTTCCGTTTTGCTGAAGAAGTTTTAGAGGTCGAGTACTTCATTTTAGGTTTCATTTTTCAGGCCTCTGTTGGATTAAAATATAATGTCAGTTCAACAATCTCAGCTTGAAAACAAAACAAAACATGGCTAATTCAACATAAAGTTGCAAACACACAGCTATATAGTAAAAATAAATATTTAAGTAACAGTTGAATGTAATATTCAGACCATTGTTTATCCTAGAATAAAGTCACAGAAAAAAAAGGTTGCAAAGAAATCTAACTTTACTTAGCTTTATTGTCAGTGGTAATATTAGCATAGAATTTCTAAGATAGTTTTGTTATGGTACAAAGCAGCTAAATAGATGTATTGGTGTTGCAGGCTTCTCACTGCAGGGCAAAGGAAATAAATAGGTAAAAACAAAGCCAAGGAGAAAATTCTGTAATGTTGAATTTGTGTCAGTAATAAATAAATGCCCAGCCATAAATGTGTGCCCATGTTAATTTCTAAGTACTTTTTCCACTAGAAGGAACTGTGACTCTATATTTGAGGCTAGGAAAATGCCAGTGAATATGGAATATTTTGTTGTGCCAGAAAGCAGTGAATTACTGAAATACTAGTAAAGTTGTATCAAAAGCACGCATGAGCTAACTTGCAGGGTCTTCCCCTTGGCCAAATTGGGCACAATTTGAGTATGAAAACAATATTAATGGTAATTGACCATGAGCATTGAATGAAAAAAAATCCACAAGTCCATAGTTTTTCTCAAGAATGAATAAATAAACAGTGATCTATTCCCTACAGAAGAAATAATAGAAAAATCACCAGCTTGAAGTCTCTAAATTAATTCAGGAAAGGATTACTTAATGGATTTCTACCTGGATAATCAGTCTGGGTTGTAGTATCATGTCGAAAGAATGTGGAATTCTCTCATAAGTTATTGAAAGCTCCATATTCTTTCAGTATAGTACTGCAAGTTGGCTTCAGAATCAAGATGTGGAACTGCTGCTGTGATCGTGAGAGGAGCAGGATTTCTCCTCAAGTTTTACAGTCTCTCTCTGACCTTGCCTGAAATTTTAGAAATGTTTTGTGACTGGTCTTTATTTTTAGAGATTGGCCTCTTATTTTGCTACACATAAAGAAAACACAAATTACTCAATGAGTGGTTATAATTTAAACCTCTTTTAAACCTCATATGAATCGGTTCTTCTAGCACAGTAAGAGAGGAAGCACTAGGTGAGAGGCTTGAGTTTATGGATTTGAGGGTTCATTAGAAAATAAATTTTATGCATGTGTATTTGTCCCTGGATAACTCTATAGAGTTGAAATTCCAAATTATCTTCTCTAGGTGGAGCTAGACTCTTATATGCAGGTAGGCTATTTAAAACCAGTTCCAATGAAGGCAATCTAAATGTAGGCCAGCTGAAGATTCCCTATTCTGTCCCTCAGCTGTTTCTTGGAGTTAGTATTATCCTTATACAGCTCATGCCTCAGATTCTTACTTTTTCTGGTTCTCCCACTTTTATTGATCACAAATGCTTAGGAGCATAGAACATTACACATCATTTTACAGAGCCCCTAATTCTACATTTGAGTAGACTGAGACTAAAGATTGCATGCTTTACCTGGGCTCACAAGGATCCCTGGGACCAGAATCTAGACTCCTGACTGCATCTTAATCGCAGCACTTCCCCATTTTTTTTCCAAGAATGTTCTTTAGAACATTCCAAGTTCACCTAATATCATGAAACTATTAGATTAAATACAAAGGTTAAAAGTAAATGGCTATTGTATCTGTAAAGACTAAAATAATCCAAGATAATTTGTCTCTCATCCTGCAACTTTCCATGTCCCCACAATCAGGACCCTCTTCTTAGTCAAGGTTAAACAGTCCACAGGATCTTGACATAGATGTGACTCCTTCCGAGAACTGCAGCCTCATACTGCCATACTTGGGAATGTATTACTTCAAATAAATTGGACAACTGTTTTTGTATAAGTCAGACTGAACATGTGAAGCTGTTGATTTTGTTGAATGTGTGGATCAGTTGTGATTTTCTTTGTTCTTTTTGTTATAAAACTTGCCATAAATGCTTTGACTTTGGAATATGTTATTATGGGTAATTTAAATCCATGTTCCTGGGCTGTGGTCATTCATATTTGGCTCGGGAAATAATTTGCTTATATTCTTTAAAGTAAAGTTGTACTTTATATCAGGAGTAGTTAATTTTTAGCCATAATACACTAAGTAGTAGATTAGACAACTCTATTGCAGTTAAATTTTAAGTTGCAATGGAAATAATTTAAATAGTACTCTACAGAACAGACACTGATATAACACTTTACTAACATGAAAACGATACAGCTATGATTTTTTTTCTTTTTCTTTTTTTCTTTAAAGCTACATGTGTCTTAGAAAAAAAAATTTAGTCTTTGGAAAAAGCATTTTCAAAGAAATCTGTATTGTAATCTATATCCTCTCTCTTGGAAAGTCATATCTTACATTAGAAGAGTAAAGATGTTGGTAGTAAAAGTGGTAGCAGACTCATGACTACCTTGCTTACCTAATTATTTTAAGTAATTATTTGCTCTTACAACTTTTCTTTTCCCATCATCACTCCCATGGACTAACCTGATCGAACATTAGAACTCCGCTTTCAGCCGACATTAGCTTACAGAGTTCACAATTACAAGGAGCCAAAAAGTATCACACTTATGATGGAGTCATTGACGTAGACCCAGTTACTTTCTTAAGAATGGTTTATATCAAAATTATGATCTGAAAATATTTTCAACTCCTATTCCAAAAGACAAAGCACTTTTTTCATGTCCACAACTATTTTGCTTTACCATATGGAATCAATATTTTGGTCATTTTTTTCAGACTAACATTTGTACTTTCCTTTTTTTGAACATCTGTATTATTTCAGAATAGATGGAAAAATACACACCACTGATTCCCTATTGCTGCTGTTCCCGATAACAGACAGAAAATATACTTGCACATTCATTAGGATACTCACTTAGGTTGTAAGTGTGAAAGGCTGGCTTCAGATGGTGTGATTCCCTGTAGTCAGCACTTGCTAGTGAAGCTACATTGAAATTCTACTTATATAAACACACACAGGGATTAAGCAATATTGGGTGACAGCGTTGGAAGAATGAGGCAGCGTGAGTAGAGCAGGTTTAATACATTAGAATGTGTGGGAACATTTCTTTTTTTTTTTTTCTGTAGCCACATCCTAGACAGAACTTTCAGATTATTTTAATTATAGTACCTTCAAAGAGTGACAATTTCTTTAATTTTTGTAAAGTTTTTGAGACATGAATTGCAGGTAGGTTTTTTTTTTTTGTTTTGTTTTTTGGTTTTTTTATTGTACTGGAAGATAGGATATATAAGGGTACTACTTAATTTTCTTTTTCTTTTCTACTAAAAGTTGAAAACTTTTCTTTGGCTTTTATTAGTACAGGTTTACAAAAAGCAAGTGATTACCTTCACTGTAAGGAAGTGGTACATGTGCATAGCAATTTCAATTCTGTTTCTTCCCTCCGTCCACCCTCTTTATTTTTGAAGGATCAGATTCATGTATTTATCTTTAGCAGACCTTGTAGGCTAGGTGTGGTGGCAAATGCCTACAATCCTAGCACTCAGGAGGCTGAGGCAGGAAGATTATGAGTTCAAGGGTAAGCCTGGCCTACCAAGTGAGTTCAATACCAGCCAGAACTGCATAGTGAAACCCTGTCTCTAGAAGAGACCTTATAAACTTCATCTTTTTTTTGGTACCAGGGATCAAACTCACAATCTTGCTCTTGCCAGGCAGGCACTTATGCCACTGAGCTATCTCTCCAGCGGTAAGAACTTATCAATTTAAACATCACTGACTTAGTTACTTTTTTCATTGCTGAGACAAAATACCTGACACTCAAGGTTAAAAGAGGAAAGTTTTACTGTAGCTCAGTTTGTAGGGGCTTCATTCATAGTTACTAGCTCAAAGCAGAGTGGCATCACAGAGGAGAAACAGTTTATGGTGGGCAGAAGGCATCAAAATAGAAGCCCACAGCAGTAAGGCAATGAATTAGCGAGCAACCACACCAGCCCCCTTTGTGTTCTTTCTATTCATGCAACATGCCCTTATGGTGGGTGGCACTCACACTCGGGGGAGCCCTCCCATAATCCACACTCAGAACTATGCCAGGCCAATCTGCGGATTAATTTAGTAATCACACACCTTTGATCCCACCATCACACACTAGATCCACCCACCTCTGAAATAGTGCCTGAGGCTTTGGGCAGACATCTAGACACAAGCCATAACAATTTTATATACAGAAGAAAAAAGAAAAAGAAGAAGGAAAACCAAAAAAGGCTGTGGAGATAGCTCAGTGGAAAAAGTGCTTGCCTGGAAAGCGCAAGGTCCCGAGTTTGATTACTGGTACCACAAAAAAAAGAAAGAAAGAAAAGAAGAGAAGAGAAAAAGAAAAAGAAAGAAAGAAAGAGAAACAATTCTATATATAGACTGAAAACCAGACTAATAGTTCAAAGCATATATAAAACATGTAAGACAATTATATTAAGTTTCAAGGAATACTTTTAGACACATTGCTTTATATTACAATACCTTTTTTTCCCTAAAGTTAAAAACTTTTTAAGTAATTGTTTTCTGATTATAAAAATGTACATGTGATTAGGGAATGTGTAAGAGAAAAAAAAGTATATGCAAAGCATAGATCTTGGCATTCTCTTTTCAGTGTAGAAATATTCGATACATCTATTTTTAATTTTAAAATAGAAGTATATTAAAATGTTTTGTAAGCTGCTTTTTCTAGTTACAACTAACTCTATCATGAGCATTTTCTTATTTTAGAAACACTCCTTTACAAGTAACATTATACATAGCCTTCAGTCATACAAATATACCTTAAACAGGGTTTTGTTGATTAACACAATGGCTGTTTCCAGGGTTTTTTTTCCTCCCTCCTTTCTTTCCTTCCCTTCTTCTTTTTATCTCTTCTTTCCCTTTCCTCTGCCCATCTTTTCTTCCTCTCTTCTTTTTACATCCCTCTGCCTTGGTCTTCACTATTGTTACTGATAGCTCTGTATGGGAAAACCTTTCTAAGCTCATTAGTAGTATAAATTTGGAGTAAAGGAATTGCAGGATCAAGTTATGCTACATTATGGGGAGCACTGATGCCCATAATCCCAGCATTGGACCATGAATCCATCACCAACTCTAGAATCTCACCTCTATGAACATATGACTCTTTGGCGGCACATCTAGACACAAATCATAGCATAGTGGTACTGAAGTTTGAACCCAGGACCTGTGTGATGATCTCTCTCCCTAACTCTTTTTATTTTGTGACAATGTTTTGCCAAGTTGCCCAGGGTGATCTGGAGTTTTCAATCCTCCTGCCTCCACCCCCTACAGTTCTGGGATTACAGGCGAGTACCACCACACCTGGCTGAAGCATGAAACTTTTTGAGCAAGTGAGAAACATCATTTACTTGTGTTTTGTGTAAGTGGTGTTATTTATGGCTGTGTAGAGTAAGAGCCAAAGGAAAGGAACATAGAAAAGAAGAAAAAAGACCAGTTAGGTACCCACCTTAAATAGCCCAGGAAAAAGCAGTGAGGACAGTCACGGCAGAGTTAGTGGGACTAATCTGAAGATAATGAAGATGAATGAGTACACTGATGCTTAATAAAGTCTTTGGCTATTGGTGTAAAGAAGAGCTTCTTTTTTTCTGTTTTGTGGTACCAGGGATCAAACTTGGGACCTTGCACTTCTCAGGCAGGTGCTTATGCCCCTCAGCTATATCTCTCACCCCAAGAAGGGCTTCCTATATCTAAGTTTTGCATCATTAAGTCACCCAGCTGCTTAATGGGTAAGTCAGGACTAGGATGAAAATGTCCCTTCCAGTTCAGGGATATGTCCACCATAATATCTCTGCAGGTCTTTGTTTGTCTGAGACAGAGTTGTTGCTTAGGTTGGCCTGGAAGTCAAGATCTTCCTGTCTCAGCCTGTAGAATCCAAGTACATTCCACTGTACCCCATTTCCACCCCTTTTTCCTTCCTTACCTTTGTCTTTCACCTTTCACATGCTACCATTTAGCCATACCCACAGACCTCAACAGCTATTTTTGGATATGGGTTATACTAGCTATGGCCTGGGAGTAAAGGGAACAGGGTAGTGAAGGAAAATAAAGGTAATGCCAATGTTTAGTGATGGGAAATGCAGAAAGGGAGTTCAGTGGCAGAGAAATATGGTAGGAAGATTTAGATGTAAGAGAAGTTTGAGGTGTCTAAGGAAAAACTATAAGGACATTTTGCTAGAGAGCAGAAACCAGGTTAATGGAGGCTAGAATTAGCCATGTTGTCTTGCTCTTCCTTTGTGAAGACCCCATAATTGATGGTATAGTGTCAAATGGATTGTCTTGTCTAACTGTCAAGCAGGAAGAGAAAACTGTGGAGTGTCGGAATGCTGGGGAACTTTACAAAGAGTAAGAAAAGCAAAGAAAGCAGTAAATAAAATCAATAATATAGACAATACATGTTGCAATTTTGGAATGGAAGTGCTATCTGGAGAAGAGAATACGATGACCAAGGTTTGAGAAAACAACTACATATATGAATTTGGTTTTCCAAAAGTATATTGGAATCCTCGCCTCTCTACAGAACACAGCCGTATCACAGACCTTCTCCTGTCTGGGGATATTCTATTTGTTTTTTTGTTGTTGTAGTTGTTTTTTTCTGGGGTTGGGCCCTTCACCATTCCAGCAACAAGGAAAATCTGCAGTGTGTTTGCCAATGATCTCAACCCTGAGTCCCATAAGTGGCTGTTGCACAATTGTAAATTAAATAAAGTGGGTCAGAAAGTGAAGGTCTTCAACTTGGATGGGAAAGACTTCCTCCAAGGACCAGTCAAGGAAGAGTTACAGCAGCAGCTGGAACTGTCAGAAGAAAGCAAGCCCCCCATCCACATTGTCATGAACCTGCCAGCAAAGTCTACAGAGTTTCTTGGTGCTTTCAGATCACTTTTAGATAGGTAGCCATGCAGCAGGGAGCTCCTTCCCAGAGTGCACTGTTACAGTTTTTCCAAAGATGTTAACCCTGTTGAGGATGTTCAGCAACGCGCTGGAGGTGCATTAGGCGTTTCCTGGAGGCGTGCAGTTCAGTTCACCTCGTAAGAAATGTGGCCTCTAACAAAGCAAAGCTATGTGTGACCTTCCAGATCCCAGCTGCTGTGCTGTGCAAGAACCAGACCATCAATCCGGAGAATGACGAAGAGCTGCATGTTAAGTGGCAGAGGACTGATAATGGCTTTTTAGAAGAAAAAACAGAAACTGCTCCAAACATTTAATTGGAAATGTTTTCTCCATCTTACCACTATACTGTTATCCAGTGAACTATATTTTGTATAATTTCATAAAACTTTATTATTGAACTCATAGTATTTTCCCTTGCTATCTTACCTCTACCAAATTAAAGCCTGGCTGAAAATTGGAAAAAAAAAAAAAGAAAAGAAAAGAAAAGAAAAGAAAAGAAAAGAAAATCAGATAAAGAGAGAGAGAACACTGTCTTAAAAAGCAGAATAGTTGACAATAAGTTTTATAACCCCCAGTTGGAGATTAGAGACTCTGGTGAGAATCCTTCAAGTATGATTGGACTCTCGAAACAACTGCAGTGGACTGCGTGGGGGCAGTGGAGGAGGAGGGAGCGATGTTTCAAGAACTCTGGTAGGAAACAAAGAAAAGAATGAGGGAATCATGTGGAACACAGAGGATGCTTTTTACTCATTAGTTGATCTTGGAAAAGATGTTTACTTGATGTTTCTAAAGCCCCAGGATTCTCAAAATAATAAATTTCTTCATAAAAATTTGAACTCATTAGGTTACAAGAATTGAATAAGGTATATTTTAAGTGTTTAGTATAGTAGTTGGGAGGCTGGGAAGATAGCTCAGTGCTTGCCTGGCAAATGCAAAGTTCTGAGTTTGATCTCTGGTACCACCAAAAAAACAAAGTACAATAGATACTCAATACATATTTTAAAGCATGATTGCTTATGTTTTATTGGTACATGAGACTCTCAGATGTTTT